AATAGCCACAGTGATAGCTTAGAATTATATACTCAACATAACAGTAACAGTATATCTTAGAATTTTCCGACTATCAGGCAGTGTTTTATTTTCTGATAAGATTTTGTTCACACAATCCCGTGTTATCTGGTGGACAGTTCGGAAAGAAAACAAAGGCGAATATATTTTACGAGTAGGACGTCACTTTGCTTATGCACTAGGATAGTCACAGAAATTTACTATGAAGACAGTGTCTTCTATAGTGTGCCTACTCAAACCAGTTTTCCGCATCCAAGACTCTGTTTTGTCACCAAGGAGAGTCTTAATAGGTAGACGTTTAGCTTGTTAATGAAATTACTTACTATGTAACAAACTATTGATAAACAAAAACTAATGCTTTTATTCACAGGGAAATGCACACTTCAAAAACATCACAAACTACAAAAGAATTAGGCTTATATTTTCATCACCGGCTACATATATACTAGACTTGAATCCTGCAATTTTCAAAAATGAAAAATTAAAGTTAAGAGCTTTAAGGATGAAGGAAATGAGCAAATTCATTGATAAAGATCAAATTGAATACCTGGAGGTAACACACTAATATCTTTTCTTATGCCTTTTCATTCTCGTAAGAATTTTGTGTTCCAATTCTACATCCATTCTCGAAAACCATGCTGGATATTGAGTTGACAACATTATGTATATTATGGACAGTCCAATAACAAGTCCACAACCATAACCCATGAGAACCGCCTGCCAACTGATCATTGATGAATCTCTTCCTCCTTCTTCATCTAGCTCAACTGGATTCGTCGTTTGTGCTACCCCATCATCACCACCACAATCCTTTGAGAGTGAAAATCCACGTAACCCATCATTTCCTTGGTATGAACTGTTCTCAAACGTATCAAATTGTTTCCTTTCGGGATGCATCCAACAAGATGATTGTGAGAGAGATTTAAGACTTCAAGTGATTTGAGGGATGCAAGCTGTTGTGGAATTTCTCCACTGATTTTGTTGGATGAGAGATCCAATGATTCAAGTACAGATAACTGGTGCAGTGATGCTGGTATATCACCTTCCAAGACATTATGAGATAAGTTTAACGTACGAAGCCCAACGAGATCTCCAATAATGCTTGGGATATGACCTTCAAATCTATTCCTTGAGAGATCCATAATCATGTCTGTAGTCAAAACTCGAGGAAGTTCAAGATCCAGTCCCTTTGTTGTCACTGTCAAAGAATTCGTGTAATAATAAGAATATATATTTCCTACATACTCTCGGGTTCCACTGCTCTCATCCAATCATTTTCATGGCTTCAAAATTCTCAAAAAAGGACTCACTGGTAAATCTCCACTAAATCCATTGGCTGAGAGATCTATGACTCGAATTTGAGCAAACAAGTTATCAGTCCTTGAATCTTTTATAGGGCCATAGAACTTATTTGATCTCAAAATCAAAATCTGCAAATAAGGTAGGGCTCCCAACCATTTAGGAAATGTGTCACTCAACTCATTGTTACCTAAATCAACAACTTCCAAATATGTGCAATTGATCAAAGATTGCGGAACTTTCCCCTCTAGCTTATTCCCGTCAAATTTAATGACTATAAGTTGGTTTCCTATACTAAAAGTTGTATTAATTTTCCCGCTAAGACTATTGTTGCTTAAATCCAAAATCCAAAGTCCACTCATCTCACCCAAACATAGTGGGATTGTTCCCTCCAAATTATTGCTGCCCAAATCTAGCACTAACAGTTTTGTCAGATTGCAGATGGTTGAAGCAATCTGTCCACTGAGATTATTTCGTGAAAGGAGAAGAAATTGTAGGCCCTGCAGATCTAAGAGTGACTTTGGAATAGGACCTTGCAGCTGATTTTGTTTTAGAGAAACTCGATACAATGATTCGGAATAGAACTCCTGAATATTTTCACTTAAATGGTTATCACTCAAGTCTAAAATCCCTATTGAAGGGAGGGAGAATATCCAGGAAGGTATAGTCCCATTCAAGAGGTTTGATGACAAGAAGAGTGAATATAGGTTTTGCATACCACTTACATTAGAAGGAATGGGACCTGTTAGGGAATTGGCTGAACAATCTAATAATCCAAGTTGCGTCCATCTGTTAAAGGATAAAAACTCAAGTTGGCCATTAAAGTTGTTATTTCTAAGTGATAACGACCTGATCTTTCCAAATCTAAAGAAATCAGAAATTGGTCCTTCAAGATGGTTATAACCAAGGTCCAAAACCTCTATGTTGGTGAGATTCCAGAGAGGTTTAGGAATAGACCCTGAGAGATTACAAGAAGCTATTCTCAATCTATGCAGTGAAGTTAGATGACCAAATGATTCTGGTATCGTACCAGTAGCATTCACACCACTGAGATATAACTTCATAAGTGATGCACTGCTATTCCATTTGGTTGTGGGAAACCTAACAGTGAGCTGGGGATTGTCTGATAAATCAAGAGATTCCAAGTTGGAAAGGTGGAAAACTCCTTCGGGCAATATCCCGTATATCTGCGTGTCTGAAAGTCCTAGATTTGTTAAATAAGAAGAGAATTTAAGAGGAATGGTTGAAGAGATGTTCACAGAGCTAAGGTGGAGCACTCTTAATCGGGTCAAGTTCTTAAGGAGCAGTTCAAAATTGTGAGGTTCGAATCTAAGCTCATATGGATCACTCTCGATACTAAGAACGTGCAATTTAGAAAGATGAGATATTTCTGCTGGCATTATACCTGTAAAAGTTGAATATGACAAATCAAGATGAGTCAAACTAGAAAGCTCACCAAATTTAGGTGAAATGAACGAGTTTAAAGAGGCTACTGTTGGAATGAAACTCGCCTCGAAGTTGGCTGCGACTGAGATCAAGCTGAATCACTTGTCCTGTCATCTCGTCACACTTAACTCCATCCCATGAACAACAATCTGCGCTCTTATTCCATTTAACTGTTTTAGGATAATAACCACTATAAGAAGCATCAAGATTTATAGTAAACGTGTTTTTGAATTGAAGAAGAGCAAGGGCTTGATCATTGAGGCACAAATGAGGTAAAGATGAGGAGAAAACAAGTTGACAGAGAAACGCGCATAGCAGAAACAATGCAAGTTTTCCAATGCCCATTTTCGCGCCTCAAAATATATATCAAAATTACTAAGTAAGTGTTTCAATTCTTGCTTTGTGTCTCTATTCAGTAATTTTGATGAGGTTTATATAGCACATAGCAAAAGACAATTTTCTATTAATTTTCGATTGTCGTAAGTCTATAGAGCTTCTTCTGATAAATATTTAGTGGGGTTAGTTGTATAGTCAGTCTTTGGTGATGTTCCAATGAAAAATTGTTGGTGCATAGACCTTGACCAAAACATTTTCCAATTTTATTTTGATTGGTTAGGATATGAGTGTTGGATGTTGTACAGACCTTGACTTTCAACTAAACATATCCAAGTTGGTTTGGTCATATGCACAAAGATTACTTTTTCTAATGGTAGTGAAAACATTAATGTTAAATTCTTTTATTTTTTTGATTTTTTAAAAAAGAATTCATGTAGAGGTATATATGATCCTTTCAGCAAAATTCAGGGTATATTTGATCTTTCTCACACATGATTTTTTTTTATTCAACGTGTAGTTTGATATCGCTATTATAGATTTATTTGCTTATCATTATTTGAGTCTCTTATTCTTATTTAATTTTTTTCCCTTTCATTTTTAGTGTAAAAATATGAGAATAAAAAAAATGTGAATAGAAAAAGAGAAAAAAGTAAAAAAAAAATTAAAACTATTTTTTGCGGCTATATTGTAATTTATTTTTTGTATTTGTTAAAAAAAAATTGGATGGCTACATAAACATTTATACTTTACTTTTTCTTTATAAAACAGAGGAACAATGAAATACCAGTATTGGTGTCTAGTACTGCCGAATGCAGAGGTTTTTTCATATTCCTTTTGCTGATCAACATTGTAATAAAATTCCCTTCCGTCCAAAAAGAATTTTGCTCCACGCGGACGGGTCATAGAGTGAGTTGTATGGATATCCATAAAATCGGATTCAGAAACGAGAGAATTCCACTTGTCATATGAACTTAAAATACCTCTTTATACCTTATTAAAAACAAAGTATTGCACTTTCTACGTAATTTTGACAAGAAGCAGTTTGTTGGGCAAATTCACAATCTTAACTTGTGGTCATTCTACAAACTTTTTACCAATAAGTGTTCAATAAGAAAATTGAAGCTCAAATGTTTATATGCATTAACTGAACTTTGCAGTCGAATCCAATTAGATAACTAATAATTACACTGAATATGTAACAAGCAATTAATAAACGAAAACTAATGCTTTTATACATAGGGAAATACACTCTTCAAAAACATCACAAACTAGGAAAGTAAAAGCTTTTATTTGCATCACACTAATATCTTTTCTTGTGCCTTTTCATTATCGTAATAATTCTGTGTTCCAATTTTAAGGTTCCAGAACGTGCAATAGCAGCATTTGATGTTGAATCTGAAAAATCGAAATTATTGCATTGTGGAATGCATCTCACTGGGTGTACTCTTACGAGTTGATAGAGGTGAATGATAAATTAGCGGTCATAATTTATGGAGCGGTAAGTGGATAAATCGACTATTGGATTTTAAAGGAGACTCCGGAAAGAGAATCATGTGTTTTATATTGGTGTTATGATGTCATCAGAAAGAGCTGGAGGAAATTAGGAATCACGCATCTAATACATTTATAGTTATGTGGAGGCTTTAGATCGCCACATTCAGTGTTAAGAGTCTAATATACGGATAGTAATTAAGATGATATATGATTGTGAGTTCCGTTATATGGGATTTGTTAAAGATTTTTAGCATGTTCTGTCTTATTGTCAAATATCTATACATCAATACGAATATGAACCGAAATTATAGGACTGAATTAGGATCAACCATCACACAGAAAGACCATGTCAGCCAGATAAGTCTTGCTATGTTTAACGAACACTTTATGAAACATCTCAAACTATGAAACAAAACACAAACACTTTATGAAACATCACAAACTATGAAATCAAAAGCTTTTATTCGCATCCCAGCAAAGCAGTGGACTTGAATCCTGCAATTTTCAAAAATGAAGAATTAAAGTTAAAAGCTTTAACGATGAAGGAGGTAGAAAATTTATGGATGTATAAAATATAATCTTCTGAAGGATAGAGATTAAGTTGAATACTTGGAGGTTACACACTAATGTCTTTTCTTGTGCCTTCTCATTCTCGTAAGAATTTTATGTTCCAATTCTACATCCATCCTTGAAAACCATGCTGGATATTGAGTTGACAACATTGTGTATATTATGGACAGTCCAATAACAAGTCCACAACCATAACCCATGAGAATCGCCTGCCAACTTATCATTGTTGAATCTCCCTCTTCTTCTTCTTGATCTAGCCCATATGGAGTTGTTGCTTGTGGTACCCCTTCAAACACACGCAATTTTTTTCTTTTCATTTTTTACCTTCTTTCATTGGTTTCTATTTATTTTATGTTCAATGTCTTTGCTTTGAATTTGATTTCAAATTTAACTCCAAATTTCTGATATTTATTATAAGTTCATTTTGGACATATGTCAAAGGCTAAAGGAAATCAAATAAAACATAAGAAGATTAAAGCGTTAAAAATAAATGACACTTTTTAAAAAAAAAATTACATGTAATTGAGAATATTAGCTTTAACAATAGGAAATAATTATTTAATCAATTTAAATTCTTCTCAAAACCACCGTCGAATAGTATTAATTAGTGTATATGCCTTGAAAATTCTATCACTTATAATGCATTTTGTTTGATATTTTAGTATATATTAGACGAAAATTTCACAATTTTCAAGTCTATGCAAGTAGTCCTGGTCCAATTATTACACATTATTAGTCTTACCAAAGTATTATACAATATTACATAACGTAGTATAATGCATCGTGGAGATTAACTTTAATTTAATGGTAGTCAAGTAGGAAATAATTAGTTAATCAATTAATTTTTTAGAAGACAAACAAAAAAGAAGAAAAGTCTATAACAGTATATGGTGATGTATGGGCCTTGACAAAACAATTGATTTGAAAATTCAAAAAAAAAGTTTGTTTAGTTAAGATAAGAGTGTTAGCTATGTATGCACCTTGATTTGAAAGGTAAAAAAGAAATTCCATAAAAAAATCACTTCAATTTTTGATGGGACTGATTCATTAAGTCCAGATAGACAAATATTGTAAACCACCAATAGATGTGATGGATTGAATGTAATTTTAATAAGGTATATTGTGAACCGCAAATTAAGCAAAGAAAAATCTACTATTGTCCCACCAGGAGGGGTCATAGAACGACAACTATGGATATCCACAAAATTTGAATAGAATACAAGAGAATTACAGGATCTGGAAATGTACACGCATTAACGACTTAACAGAAAGCCATGAGAATATTTCAAACATTATTTCGTGAGGAATTGATACTTTTTTCCGACAAAATTCATCTTCTTACTGGCGGCTAAATATTGCATGTAATTCTCTTGACTTTTAAAATAAATAATTAGTTTCAAGATTATTTATCTCACCATTTATACTAAAATGACAGATAAGATATCCCTGGTAGAGTCCATTTATATAAATTAACAATGGAAAGAGTGTATATAAATAAATAAATGTTGGAGTCACTCCTAGAATCAGATACTTAGGCTAATTGGGAGACTAGGATTGTTTATATAAATTAACAATGGAAAGAGTGTACGGATTGGGGTTTTTTCTCTGTATTTGACAAAGCTAACTAATTGGGATTTGTAATTCTCATTCGGATGATCAATAAAATGAATTAATTGTCTAAAATGAAATAATCACTATATATTACTTCAAAAATGGATTACGATTTTACCCTTTAGCTTAAAGATTATTCCTTTAACGGCCTTCGCGCTAGCGCGCTTAATCAATCAGTTGGTTTTTTCCTAATCCCATCGGCCATAACGTGGTCTATCTGGGTTGGTCTAACTCCTTGGCTTGGATATGGTTATTATTCCCGGGTCACAGTAAGAAAGGATAAACTATATATAATAAAGACAAAATTAAGCACATTCATTTTCTGTACAAAATTTGGACATTTATTCTTAGTTATTATAATATAACTAACGTTTCCCATTGTATTTCATTATAACAGACTAGAATCACGCAACACACGTTGCTTGTGTGCTTCCTGCTAGCGAGAGAGAAAAAAAAGAGCGATAAGGTTCAGTTCAGATTTGATAGTTTACCGCATGGGAGCAGATTCCCCAAAAAATCTGTGCGAATTAATTTTAAAAAGTCCAGTCATTATTAGTAATGGAATCATAATTAACAGTCAGTCTTTTTCACTACCCTTATATAAATATACATGTAGAATACATAATGTAATTTATAATATTTTTGTATCCCAACAAAATTAATGTAATGTCTGTTATTGAGCACATATAAGTTGAATATTATAATCGAGATTGATTAAATGAAGGTAATAATTATCCATAATTGTTATCTTTCACATTTTCAATGTTATCGGTTCGTCCTTTGAGTTTGCATATCTTTTAATTTGCACTTTATATAAGTAAGATGCCAAAATGTAAAGTTATTTGGTTCTTTTCCTTTTTCTCCACAACAGTCTACTCTTTTTGTTTGTTGTATTTTGCTCACCTCCAGAAAAAATGTTCAAGTAAATATATTTTTTTTCGATAAAAAAAAAGTGTATTACTGCCAATTGCTACAATTTAATTGCTTATATATCTATGGTCTAGGTTGGATGTTTTATTGTACGTTATCTAATTAATTTATTTCTACTTTGTTGGTAATCAATTATATTTTCAACATATTTGAGGCAGAAAGAGGTCTCCATGTATATATTTGTAGCTTTTACCAGAAAATGTTTTTTTCCCCATTATTTATTATAAATATTCATGAAACCGTCTACTCTTGTTTATGCATATTTTCATCAAGTAACACTTTCTATTTTATTGAACTTTAAGAAATTGTTAGCTTATTTAATTTTTAATTATCATTATTTTATGATATTTGTATTGAACATTTGATAGATGTTAAATGTTAGACATGTTTCATGTTATATATTATAATACAACTATATTTGTACAATATAAATTTTCTTAATAGAGTATATTGAATTATATTTTGTTATGCTAATTTTATTTTATTCTTTTTCTGTTATAAGATTATTAATTCTTTTTTACTTACTATAATTGTGATATTTATGAAAAAAAAGGGTACTAATCTAACTTTCGTTGGATATTTTGTAAATTATAAATCCATACCTTGAACTGTAATTTTATTGTATAATATAATTCTTTTTAAATAAATTATGTGATAATAAATATAGGATATACGTGCGAAGCAGTCAAAATATGTTATGTTTGAAAGACAAGAAAACAAAAGGAAAAGAAAAATGGCTTCTAAGCTATGGTGAAAAATAAACAAGCTTCCATTAATCTTATTAATTATAGTCTTCCAAAATTAATTAGAGATGAACCATAAATAGAAAATAAAGAAAAAAATGGACATAATTAGATAAACAGAAGATATGAAAATTACAATAAATGCTGAAGTCAATAATATTGGAACTATTCATTGTACTCTTTGTACTCCTTGTTGCACATGGTAGTACTCTACATTTTTTTCCTCTTTGATAGGAAGTTTTGAATTACTCCTTCGTGCTTCTATATTTGTCTAGTTTGTATTTTGCGTATATTGTGGAGGGTCAAAATTGGGTGTCAACATCTGTGTGACATTTAGGTCACGTGTTTAAACTTTTTTAGATTCTGCTAATGCAAGATGCTTTGTGCACCAGGTAACCTTTTTTTTTAAAGGAGAAAGAAAGTATATAAGAGTGATAATCTGTGTATAGACTTTGACGAAAAAATCTGTATCCATCTCAATGTGTGCGAAGACCATTTAATCTAGCAATAGTCAAGTAAGAAATAATTATTTTATCAATTTAAATTCTTAGAGAAAAAGAAGAAGAGAAGAAAGAGTCTATAAGATTATTAATTGGTGTATAGACTTTGTCAAAAAAGTTTAATTAGTAAAATTCCAAAACAATAGTGATAGGTTAGGATAAAAGTGTTGGTTGATGTATAGACCTTTAACTTCTAAGTCAAAACTGCCAACATTTTTTTTCTTTTTTGATAATCTAGAATGAGATTTTTTAATTTTAGTGTGTTCTTTTAATTTTGGAGATAAAATAAGGTATGAGTCACGACAGAATGCTTCGATGTTATGTTTGTTGGGTGTACAAATAAAGTCCCGCATAAGAAGTTGATAAGAAGAAGATATGTTCTAAACTGCTTTAATCAATTTAAAGTCTTCTCAAAGCCACCGTCGAATAGTATTAATTAGTGTATATGTCTTGACAAAAACTTCTCAAGCCAATAAATCAAAAAGAGTTTGATTAATTAGGATAAGAATACACTGATTATTGATGTATAGACCTTGACAATAAAACTTTAAGTAAAAAATCCTTTAAATTTTTTGATTGGTTGGGATAAGAATGTTACTTGGTGTATAGAATTTGACTTAAAGGTAAAGATTCCTAAAACTTTTGATTAGCTGGGATAAGAGTATTTCTTGGTATATAGACCTTGAAAAAAAAAATATCAAGTCAAAAATCATTTTTTATTTGATTGGTTAGAATATATATATATATAAGAGTGTTATTTGGTTTATACACTTGATTCAATATTAACTTAACTATGATCAAACTTTTATTCTAATAGTACTTCTAATGAATTTACATATTCCCAAATTAATGCTTGAGTTATTGCAAAGAAAAGTTCAAATAAAAGCTACAAAAGAAAAATTCTATCACTTATAATGCATTTTGTTTGATATTTTAGTAGACGAAAATTTCACAATTTTCAAGTCTCTGCAAGTTGTTTTGGTCCAATTATTACATTATTAGTCTTACCAAAGTATTATACAATACTACATAACGTAGTATAATGCATTGTAGAGATTAACTTTAATTTAATGGTAGTCAAGTAGGAAATAATTAGTTAATCAATTAATTTTTTAGAAGAAAACAAAAAGAAGAAAAGTCTATAACAGTATATGGTGGTGTATGGGCCTTGACAAAACAATTGATTTGAAAATTAAAAAAAAAGTTTGTTTGGTTAAAGATGAGAGTGTTAGCTGTGTATGCACCTTGACTTGAAATGTCAAAAAAAAATTCAATAAAAGAAATCACTTCAATTTTTGGTGGGACTGAATCATTAAGTCCAGATAGACAAATACGGTAAACCATCAATAGATGTGGTGGATTGAATGTAATTTTAATGAGGTATATTGTGAATCGCAAATCAAGTTAAAAAAAAGTCTACTATTGTTGCTTTGGAGTAATCAATTATAAGGAGGATATACGTGACAATGAATTTTATTGTATAATATAATTATTTTAAAAA